TTTGGTTAATCGATTAATAGATTAAGAAATTGAACATTCTTTTAATTGATTTAATTCTTTGATCTCAGGTGGAGATAGAAATTTAAAAGTGACAATGTGACCAAAAGCTTGTGTAGTTATTCCTTTAGGAGTAGTAGTGAAAGAATTTAATAAAAAGATAAATGGTGTACCTAAAATGACTTTATCAGTTAGTGTAACATGCCTCGGGGGTACCCGTGCGCATTAAACAGTTCGGACTCTCGAGATCTTTTTGATCTAGTCTCACGAGTGCAATAGGAAACGTAGATGAGAGTCCAGATTTGGCAACTTTTATTGAAAATCTATTTTATTGCAATTTTGTCAAAAATAGACTGCGTCATCAGATCTCAGAGTCGCTACCTAATATTTTGGGAAATTAGGAAACCCATGACTCGTGCTAAGGCCACTATTCGTCGTAACCAAGGATGCTTGGCTTGGAACCTTAGGTATGAGAGGGGAAGGTCAATAATGAGCACCCCTACTCACCCGATCAAAGATCGGCCTCTACTAAACCATGATATAAATTTTATTTTCTTTATATGTTCATGTTCTGATTATTTAGTAAATCCTAAAATTTATTATGTGAAGCATACAAGTATAGACTAATTTGCTTAAATTGGAACAATTCAATTTCATGTTTGTTTGTCGAAAGGGGTTTGAAATTTGTCACTTGACAAAGTGAGCTTAAAGTTTGTGAATTTGCCACTACAAAGAGGGCTTAAAACGTACAATCTTTGAATCATTCCAATTTAAGCAACAAGCCTTTATCTACAGACATTCAAACAGTTTATCACTTAAGCAATTAGCCACATGGTAGGATGTTTATTAGCCACATGGTAGGATGCTAAACATAATAAGAAAAATTATGTACAAGTGGGATGCTAAAGCATAAAAACTCACATATTTACCGACGTCCCGCGAACAAGCTACAAAACAAAGCTAGTAAAATATGCATGATCCTATATACAAATCATAATGCAATTCATACACAAGAATACTTCTAAAGATCCGACTTCTAAAACGTGACATGTGAAACATTGCAATACTTGCGATAGCACACAAAATCATATAAGAATCAATTAAAGCACAAAGATGTAAATTTAGTCCGATCTAGGCATGAATCATGGATGCAAAGCGTGGATATACATGGCATGTCAGATATATATACATATGTACAGTTAGGGAAATCAATTAAAAAATGGGATAGAAAGAAGTGGGGTGGGAGAATTATTACAATACTTTAAATATTACAAATCCGAGGAAGATGAGGAAGAAACCAAATATTATAGCAAAATATAACAATCCTCACAAACTCTCAAAACAAAAATAAAATAGAAATAAAATAAAGCAGAGACACACCCTGTGTAACTAAGCACCCATTGATAAAACCCATATTAAACCCACAAATTGAGCCCATTTACTTGAAGCTCAAGTAAAACCAACTCAAGCCCAATACTCAAAAACCTTATTATTCTCAAACCCATTTGGTTCTGCTTTGAAGAAACCATTTCTTTCCTCCACCACTGCATCACCGCAGCAACACCCTTTTCCTCTCTCTTCTTCTATTTTCCTTCGTAGGAAAATCAACTCTTCTGATTCTCTCCCCCCAAACCCAATTCCATAAGAGAAAAGTTAGGGATCATGAAATTTTTTTGATGAAAATGATCATGAAAGATTTATGATCCTTGATGTAGGTGAGGGTTCAAGAAAAGAGTTAGAAAATTCGAAGATCTTCGAAGATCCTTGAAGAACAACTTCGAATTCTCTAGAAGATGATGAGAGGCTTAGATTCTTCAATGGTCTCAACTCAAGAACACAAAAACAAAGGAGATGATGGAGATAAGAGATTGGGTGAAGAAGAAGGCAATTGCTGATTCCATAAACCCAAACTTCTACAATGATCTTCCAGGCCATTCAAAGGTCTTGATTCTGAAACAGCCATGGTCATGTATATATATACCCAACTGCTTTACACCTCTGATCTGAATCACCGTCACCTCCACCATGAACTGAAGAATATGAATAAATGTACCCGATGGAAGTCCCAACGCCCTAAGATCGCACATCAGAAAACGAAGAGCTTTGTCTCATTCCACCATATTTGTAAGAAGCAGAGGACTTATTAGCCACTGATCTTTCAACACGTTCTCGAGCCTTGACACCATGCACCCACCCACGCCATGCACCTACCAAACCAGCGTCACACCGTCAGCCGGACGCGTCGGCGACCTCTGAAAACCCACCAGCAGCCAGCACGCACGGCAGTAAACAGCCCGTTGCTAGAAATGAGTCTAGCATGCAATAATTGTCACCGGAAGTATGAATAGAGAAGTGACTCCCGTGGCTGCTACAGCTGCGATGTGGTGACTCCCATGGCTGTTGCTGCTGCGATGTGGTGCCTCCCGTGGCTGTTGCTGTTGCTGGGATGTAGTCGTCGAATCGGAGTTGCTGTGTAAAGTGAGGAAATCACCGTCACCGTACTGGTTTCGCTGCCGGAGAGTCGCGCTGTTAAGCCATGTCGGTCCAACACCGACTTGTTGTGGTGGTTGTTGTGGAGGTTCGTGGTGGTAGCTCGATGTAGAGAGAGAGAGATATAGATAGAGAGTCAGAGTGTGAGAAAGATGGTAAGGTTGGCCATGCATGGAGAGGCAGATGTGTTCTGTGTGTGTGTATGGTGTGTGGATGTGTGTCTGTATCAGTGTGTTGTGTATGGTGTGTGTTGTGTATCAGAGAGAGAGAGAGATCAGCCAAGGAGGCTGACCCCCCTGTGGGTGTCTGTGAGTGTGTTCTGTGTGGATTGATTTGTTGGAATTTTTGATGGCTCGACTTGAGAACCTTAGTGAAGGTGTCGACTTGAGAACCTCAGTGAAAGTGAGTTAGTAGAGGATGATATGTACAGAGTTTCTCTCCCTCTGGCCTTTTTACTCTCTTTTGAAACTATTCTCTATCACCCACTGAACACCACTCTCTCTCAGCCATTATTTTTTTCATCAACTTTTGTATGTCTCTTTTTTTAGCCCATTCTCCAGAGAGAGATGATGAATAATCCTCTTATTTAATAAACCACCGAGAGAGAGAGAGTGAGTGAGAGCCATCAGCCCATGTGTGTGTGTCTCCGTGTTTTCGCCCAACTCCATCCAGCGAGAGAGCAGATAGGAGAGCAGTTGTGTTTTTTTTCTTTGTGTGTGTCCCCTCTCCACCCACTCTCACATGCTCTTTTCCATTATTCACTCACGAGAAAGACCTTTGCATTTTTTTGCTGCCATTCTCACCTGTTCTCCTCTCTTTTCTCCTTTTTTTTTTTTTTTTTTTTTTTTTAAAAAACAATAATATCCTCCACCACCACATGCTCCTTGATCAAAGTTTTGAAAAGCGGTTGCGGGCACTGTAACGATAGCGGTGGCGTGGTTGTGGTTGCGGGCTGTAAAGGCCGCAGCGTAACGATTGCGGTTACCGGAACTGTGAATTTTTTTATTTTTCGCATAATTTGTAAAAAACTTACCGATACGCATATTTTTTTTTAGAATCATATTTATTGGGTTTTAAAATAAATTTTGATAAATTTTTCATAATTTTTAAGTATGATCCAATATATTTCATATTTTTAAATCACTAGAAAATGAATTTTTTTACATTTTATTTTAATAATTAATGACTTTATATGTCATAAATCCATATTACACTTCTGGCAAAATTTTCTTTTATTGGACTTAGATGTATAAAATTATTTTTAATTATTATACTTGTGGAAGCATATGCACATTTTAACTCAAATAGTTTTTAAAAAGTATACATCCTTAATAGAAGAATTTGACAAAGTACATAACATCATAGCATAAATCACAAATAACAGAGAGTACATTTTACATAATGTTACTACTAAAATTACATAATGTCACTACCAAAATGAATGGCTTGGTGCATCTTGGGATTCAAATTATTGAGCTTAATTGTTGCTGCTACCTTCACCCCCACCAAAATGAGTGACGTGGTGCATCTTGGGAATTAGATTGTTGAGTTTGATTGCTACTACCTTCACCCCATCCAATAGGAAATATATTTTTAAAAAAAGAAAATTTTGCCATAAAAATTGTTGTCACAACAAATTTTGTCATTAAAAAAAAAAATTGTTATCACAACACATTACAATAACAAAATAAAAAAATATTTATAATTAAATGTTAAATGAAATGATTATAAAAAAAATTCAACCGTTATTTATACATTTGGATTTTACATGCTAATGTAATTAGGAACAGAGACATTTTTCATGGCATTGTTTGAGCTATTGTTTTTATTTTTATTTTTTTATTTTATAGAAAGACATTTTTTAAAAAAATAAATAAATTTGTGCTATCAAAATTGTTGTCACAACACATTACAATAACAAATTTTTTTTAAAAAAAATATTTCAAATTAAATACTAAATAAAATAGTTATAAAAAAATGCAACCACTATTTATACATTTCGATTTTAAATGCTAATGTAATCATATAAAAATTAAAAAATGAATTATAAAGAATTTTTTTTGAGGTATTGATTTTTTTTTTAAAAGATATTTTTAAAATAAAATTGTGCCTTTAACAGTGTTGTAATAACAAAATAAAAAATATTTATAATTAAATATTAAATGAAATGATTATAAAAAAAAAATTTATTTTACATGTTAATGTAATGAAATAAATTTTAAAAAAAACTTATAAAGAAAAAAAGTTCATACATGGTTGTTTTTTGGGTTTCAATCACTTGAATATTTGTTATCTTTTTGAATAACCTGCAAGAAAAAAAAAATCAATGAAAACTGATATATATAAAATGTATTAATATAATTATAGGTGTTATGATTTTTAGATATTATAAAAAAAATCAATCACTAATTATTATATATAAAATACTAAAAATAAATGCATAGCTCCATATATATATATATAAAAAAATTAAAATTACTAAATATATCACATAAATTTTAAAACCTGAAAATCATTGTTAAAAAAAAATAAAATAAAATAAAAAACAAATGCCAGTTGTAGACCACGGTGCACACACAAAATAAAAACAAATGCTATACCTTCCCAAGGTCAACAAATGTTTTGTATCTTCCCTAGCAAGCTGAACAAACAAAATAATTAAAAAAATAAAACAGATCAGAGGCAGCACTTCGTCTTCAACACAAAGCTGAACACAGAACAGAGGCAGCTTGGAGATTCAACACAGGTTCATCTCCTCCCTCTTCTCTCTCTTCTCTCTCTCTATTTCTCACTCATCCGTATTTTAGATCTGAAAATTTGTGATGGAATCTCACCTCGAAGTGGTTCATGTGCTGTAAAGACAAAAGAGAAAAGCTCAATCATAATAAAGGTGTGTACCACATCTTCTTCAGCCTTTTCTTTTGTTTTTTTTTTGAAAATAATCAGCGAAAAAAGTCCTGTAACGGGTGTAACGGGCCGTTACGGCCGTTACGCCACCGTTACGACCGCTACGTCGGCCGTAACGGCTGATACACTTGTAAATTTCAATCACACCGCAAAATCGGGAGTAACACATGGTGCCTACCATCGAAACTGTTACGTAACGGCCGAAACCGTTAAATAACACCGCATTTTTAAACCTTGTCCTTGATCCTCTCTTCCACCGTCCACCACCGAAAGCCATAATAATATTCTCTTTCTTTTCTTTCTCTTCTCCCAAAAAAATACTCAAACCATACCCTAACTTTTCTTCTTCTTTTTTTCATTATTTTTTTTGTTTTTATTTTCTAATTTATAAAATATACCAATTTATATATATAAAAAAAACTAAAAATATGTATAAACAAATAACATTATATAAAATTATAAAATACTACAAATTAAAAATATTTTAATGATATAAAATAATTTGACCAAAATGAGTGAGGTTTGGAATTAAAGTTTCAATCTGATTTTTCTGCTGAGATATTCATAAAATGGCATATTCCAATTTTCATCATGGGGTGTTCAAAAGAAAATGCTCAAGTCTTAGGGCCGGTCAAAATGGGGTGTCTACAGTTAGGTTTCGAACTAACACAAAAGATGTTTTGAAACAAACATTATTTTGATAAATATGTACATTTGGTAATTTATATTTGATATGCATTTGACTTCCATTGGCAGAACTTAATTGTTCAGTAGACTTATGATAATATTTGGTAGGAATTAATCCTTTTTTAATACAATTTAAATCAGCGCCAATATCAATTAATGCGATGACTTCTATTTCAAAATCATTAATAACTAATTTGACTTTCGAATGCCGTTTCTAAATATTAATTCGATTAAGGTGATTACTAACATGATCATTATTATGTGGAGTAGTTCTATTATCAAAGATGACTTTGTTTGGATCGGGTTTAGAACTAGATTCAAATTTAGAGGATGATTTATTAGATTGTTAGAAATGATTAAGACTTTTGTTGTTTTTTAATAGAGCAATGTCTTCTTCTAAAATCTTGTCTTTAGCATTTAATTCTTGGATAGTTAGTTTCATATGATGAATTTCATTTTGTAGATCTTGTAAGGTGACTTCTTTATGCTTTTCTTTTTTAAATCGGTCTAAAGTTTTAGTTAAACTAATGATTGGTTTATCATATTTAGGTTTCTTATCTTTATTGGTCAATAAGGATTTCAACTTATTAGTATATTGTATTTTTTAATCGACTAATTAATTCAATGAGAGCAGTTTCTTCTTGTTGAGATTTACTAAGAACACTGACTGCTTTATAACAAGTATCATTATATCCTAATTCAATTTCATTGTCAATACTATCAGTAGGAGAATAATAGAAAGAAGTATCACTGGAGGGAATATCATTGCTAGATGAATGACTAGGAGTTTGATTTGGAGTAGTGGCTAATTTAAATATGTCAAGTATTTGTTGTTGATTTTCATCAGTAATCAATAATTGGTTAAGTTTAGCTTTAAGTTTTTCTTTTACTTTGCATTTATTGGAATAATGACAATTTTTTTCACAATTATAACAAGTAACGTCTGATTTAGGTTTTAACTTTTGAGATTGATTAGATTTTTTATGATATTTTTTTTTTTGGGTTCAGTATAATATTTATTAGTTGATTTAGAAGTGTAATATTTCTTTTTATATTTAGTGGAGTATTTATAAGAAGATTTCTTTTTATTATTTTTACTTCGAGAATGTGCTATGGGAGATAAGCCATATTGTTCACAACAGTTACCTGATTCATATTTAGCTTTATGTTTGCCTTTAATAGCTTTTTGACTAAGTTTCAGATCGATGCACATTTTTAGTCCTTCCTTTTGAATTGTGCTAATTATATCACCGTAGGTTAAGTGCTCATATTCTATAATACTAGTGGGTTGACTAAGAACATCGTGAATTTTATAGGCAAAAAGACTTGATAATCTATTAATAAATTTTTCTTTCCAAAATGACTTAGTACAATCATCTCAAAGCATTACTCTAGAGGTAAAAATATCTTTATACCATCTAAAATCACTTAGAGTAGGGCGAGTTAAGTTACTGAGTTGATCATGGATATGAGAATGAATATTAGTTGGTGTACCTATAAAATGTTTTGTTATGGTATATATTAAAGTATTAATACCATCAGGTATACTAAAAACTATTTCTTCATCAAAGATCGGAAAACCATTATCAGAAGTAAGATATTTATCCCACCAGGATTTGAGCATACCAGTAAATCCAATAGTAATTAAAATAACAATTTCAAGTTGAGTATAATCAGGATAATTAGTAAGGTAACTGTTTGCAACCATGGATAAATGATTGAGTTTCTGGAGAATTTGATGTTCACTAAGACCATCTATATTTCATTTATATAATTTTTTAGCAGAAACGAAAAATTGATTATTAATATTGGTTTCTTCAAATTGGAGATCGGGAGATATAGGTTTAGTGTACCAATTTTTAGTAAGAGTGGTAGGGTTAACTTTAGGGTGTGTGATTCTATTAAGATGAGAAGGTTGAAATTGTTGTGTTAACTTAGTGATTTCATTATCGCTAGACGTATCAGAATGACTAGGAAATTCTAGTGGAGGTTATTGTGTTAGGCAGTATAATTCCTTTGTTTGTAGTAAATGTAGACATTTTATTAAATAATTTTTTAATGGCTTCAACTGTAGTATTATCTTGAGTAGCTAAGCTTAATCGCTTTGTAGTACTAGGAAGATTAATAAGAGGTTTATCTAAAGGTTTACTTGTAGAAGTATGACTAGTGGAGTAATTCTCAAAAGTAGTTTCGAGTTTATCTAGTTGTTTATCAATAGTTTTTAAATATTGATTGGTATAATTATTTTGTTCAATGACTTTTTTAATTTCAGATTCTTCACTAGGGAGTTTAAAAGGAGAAGCATGAACAATAGTGCCTTTATGTTCAATCAGAATGGTTTCTAAATGAGGGTGACTAGATGAAACAAAAGTAGTAGAGGAAGTTTTCCATTTAGTTTTTGTAATAACGTTTACTTTTTGATAATAATTTTCTAAATAATCAAAAAAATTAATTTCAGTATTGATTCCTGTCATAAATTTATACCATTTTTTGGTAATTTTATATTGTTGTTTTGTATTATAAGTATTCCTATATGTGTGTCTTTTTGACTTATTTGCCATAGATTTGAATTCATCATGAAGTTTATTAAGGCCTGGAGTAAAATTTTTACTTAAAGTTAACAATTGTGGGTTGATAGGAGGAACAATTTCAAAATCAATTTGAGTTGATGAATTTTGAGATATAGTATCTTCTTCTTGAAGATGTGTGTGAGTAGAGTAAACTGGTTTACTAATTTGAGAAGTAGATGAATTATCAATTCCTTTTAATTTACTATATGTATATTGGGTTTGTGAAGAAGGCTCACAAAGGTGTAGTTTTCTATCTCTTCTAGTAAACAAAGGGGTATTGATGATTTCATCTTCATCAGTTTTAATAGGTAAACTAGAGGTATTATGGTGAGAGGATTGACTATAGGGTCTATTAAATCTAATATGAACAGAACTATCATTAAATTGTTGAATATTTTGAATATCATGACTGGTAGAAGATTATTGATTTTGGGAGTAATTTTCATTGACTGTAATCCAATCATCAGGAAGACTAATATCTTTCCAACAAATCATTTTTGGAATAGAAATATTAGTTTCAGTAGTGCTACCTTGGATTAATAGGGTTTTATCTTTGAGACTTTTAGTTAAAACTTAAACGTTCAAATTAGTTTTAATACACTTGTAATAAATCCGATAGATTAAAGCAATGTTATGACTACTTTCTAACATTAATATTTAGTGTTAAAACTTTTAATATATGGAGATCTCGAAAACTCAAAGTAAAATCTGGAAAACAATTAAAATGTACTGGACCTTTATGCAGACTAGATTCCATCATTTCCATAACACTAGCATGGTAATTAATAAAACGAGCATCACGTAAATATAAAAGGACATAAGTATTTGTACCTTGTTGGGTTAATGAGTTGATTCCCATTTGGATTAATCCTAAATGGATAAAATTATGACCAGCTTTGAGATGTTTTCTGATTGACTCTTTGGATAACAATTGACAAGTTTCTCTAATTTTTGTTAAAGTATAAACTTGTTCAACAGTTTTGACTTGTAAATTAACATTAAAGGTGAATTGTAAAAAACTGGTTTTGTAAATTTCTTTAGTTTTGACTTTAGGAATATTTCAACTTGAAACAATTTTAACATCTTGATATTCATGTTCTTCTTCATTAATTAGTACATCCGTACTAGGGATAGGAGCTAGAGTTGTAGATCTAGAGCTAACTGAAGAGTTACTTTTGAACAATCGACTCATTTTAATTCTATAAAATTAAATCCAATTTTCCGAAATTCATTTATAACTTATCGTGTTTTCTCATACTGTGTGTTCACGAATACCCTTTCCGAGAACTGCTATATCCTTCTACTGCCTAAACCTAAGGACTTACACTGGATTGAGACGAAAGGTGGGTGGCTACTGACAAAGTGGAATACAAAGATAAGTTAAGCAAGAATGAGGAGACTGGAATTTAATTAAATAGAGATGAAATGAGGAAATTAAACAGAAAGAATAACTCAACATACTAACAACTTAGCTCTGACACCAAAGAGACGGAAGCAACACATAAATTTAATAAACTAACAATTAAATAAACAACAAGTTAAATAAACAAAATAAAATATTTTTTTAAATAAGAATAGATAAGTAAATTAAGCTTACAATATTAACTTACAATTAATTAGTGAAAGTAATCGAAAAATATAGAATTGTTTACTAGAAGTAACTGGTTAATAATATATAAATAATAGATATTTATTATAACTATAACATATATAAAAAAAAATGGAAACTAATTGAATCTAACACAAAATGCCAAACATGTCTAAAGTCCAATTGCCCTCCATTTTGCGATATATTAATCTTTACATGATTCTGTTGGTGGCTCATTATTTATTACTTAGTTATGGATAAATTATACCAACGGTTTTATAGTTTGGTCCTTATGTCATTTTGATCTTTAATTTTTTAATTATAATACATTTGACCTTAAATTTTGAATCTTGTTCTAAATAAGGATAATTAAAGATATCATTACTCAATTTTAAGGGTAAAGTCGTCAATTTGATAAAATATAAACTAATTTGATAAAAATAAATATTAAAAAAATATTTTTGAATTTTTAAAAATTATTTCTACCCACTAAAGATAAAATTATGTAAAATTGATAAATTTTTTAGACATTTATTTATTTATTTATTTTACCAAATTAATTTTTATTATGTGTTTGGATGATGATCATGTAATGAGTGGTTGTTTTTGTTTTCATTAAATTAATTTTTATTTTTTCAAAAGTCAGATATGGCGACAATTTTGATATCATTATTAAACCAATCTATTAAATTAAAAAATCCAAAACTAAAAATATTTCATATATTAAATATATCGATTACACATTAAAAGTCTAGCAACCACTCATTAAATGATTATCACATAAACACATAATAAAAATTAATTTGGTTTAAAAAAATGTCTAAAAGATTTATCAATTTTACATAATTTTATCTTTGGTGGGTAAAAATTGCTTTTAAAAATTTAAAAATATTTTTTGACATTTATTTTTGTCAAATTAGTTTATATTTTATCAAATTGACGACTTTGCCATTGAAATTAAACAATGGTATCTTCAGTTGTCCTTATTTGAAACATGATTCAAAATTTAAGGTCAAATGTGTCACAATTGAAAAGTCAGAGACCAAAGTGACACGAGCCCCAAACAATGGAGACTGTTAGTGTAATTCACCCTTTATTTTTTTTTAACAGGTTGATTGCTTATCATGACTTTTGAATAATTTGTCTTTACTAGTGGAGGAAGGCTGACGAAACTCACAGCGAGAGGTTAATATAGTCTCGTTGAGATTGATTTAGGATGAAATCAAGATTAATTTATTGGCTACAATTCTAAAAGAATTAAAACAAAATTAACTCATTAAAATTATAAAATTGATCTAAACCAAATTATTTAAATATGGTCTGGTTTAATTTGAAACCACGGTTTCACATAATCTATTCATAAAAAAAAAAAAATCATTTAACATTTTCAAAAAAATTTAACTTATTATAAATTTTAAAAATAATAATAATATACTCATTAAACAAACTATTCTCAATATATCAATTTTATTGAGTATTTTATTAATACAAGAGGTACTGGTATATGTCATTTTTTAAAAAAAAATTTAAAAATTAAATGTTATATATATTTTGAAAAAAAAAAAAACTTACTAGATTAATTTATTTTTCTTGTAAAATAATTTTTTCACAATGTTTATAGAAGAAATTATGTTTAATTATTAATGTACTCAAATTAACTCAATATTTTTATACACATACTTTCATTCCACCAATAAAATTTTAAATTTTGCCTTCGGTGACGAGACCCCCACGCAAAGCGCATGGGGGCCCAACTAACATATATAGAAAGTGGTAAGACATTAAGTTGAGTCTCAAGCTCTAATTACAAAAAATGTCATTTCTACAAATTAATATTACAGCCTACCATTGTGATGAGAAATTTGGTACAGAAATGAAAACATATGGCTTTGCTACACATCAAGCCACATGGCCTTGGCATAGAGGTGGCCATTTCAGTTTCTCTACAAAATATTTCATATAACAAGATACTTATAAATCAAGAATTTACCCATAAAAAAAAAAATTGATGGACAAATTATAGATTCTTAAGTTTGGATTTATAGCAATTTTGTTCCTACAATATATAATAAATTTTTAAAAAATGTTAGAGATCTATAGTTTGGTATTAATGATATAATAAGAGTTGGACCGTTTATTATTGGATGTGTAATAAATTAAAAGTCAGCACTTTTTATACCACATCATTGTCAATCAAAGTTTAGACAACAATGTTTTTTTTTTAATTTTTCTCTTTCAAACAGTGTTCATTATCGAAATGGTCTTGTTCGGGTGAGTAAAAAATTCTATATTGTGATTAGCTCCATTTCTAATGCCCATGAAGTTGAAGAAGAGCCTTAGGTGAAGACAAGGTTAGTTGTCAATTAAACAATAACTCATATGGCTTTTTTGTGTCTAAGATTGCATGTCTTTGATTTGTTTGCTTCGTAGTGTTTTTGTTGTGATTTATATACGGATTATAGATTTATAGCAATTGAATATGCTTGTGTTTGTAAATATATTTATATGAGAAATTATAAGCATGTTTGGTTTGTCTCTCAAAATATGTTTTTGGAGAAAAAAATTCAACATGTTTAGTTGAAAATTTTAGAGAAAAAAAAGTTCAAAATCACTTCTTTCTTTACTACACATCAGTCAATCACATTTTCTCTCTCATTTCTCATTCTCGGTCACTTTTTCTCTCATACCTATTTATTCAGTTATAAAAAAATATCAAATCATCCGAAATTCCAAAACTTCAAAACTATTTTCAAAATATACAATCAAATAAAATTTTAAATTTTCTAAACTCTCTCAAAAAAATTATTTTTGAAATAATATCTTTTTTAAAACTTAGCTACCTGTGTTGAATAGACATGTTGGTTTAGCCAACCAAAAGCCACCATGTTTTTCTACTAAAGTTACCATTGTTCGGTACACATATGTCTAGATACTTGGTTCTTAATTGATATATTTTCTAAAAAAACAAGGGGTGGTTTGGCTTGTTTTCAGGGAGGGGGGAATTATTGAAAAATTTGAAATTAATTTGATAAAAATAAATATCAAAAAAATATTTTCAAAAAATGAATTTTGACCTCCCAAAAGAAAAAATTATATAAAAGTGATAAGTATTTTTAATTTTTTATTTATTTCACCAAATTAATTTTTAGTTAAAAAAATTGAAGCAAGCTTTTAAAAATCAAATCAAACATAGACAAAGTGAATATGCATGGTCTAGATTTATTTGGTTCTAATGTTTTTTTAAGTGGTTAACACAATAAAGAAATTAGCAATTGCTTTGGTTATATCCATTCAACCTAGTC